GAGTCTGTCACTTAGACAGAGTGTGACTTTGGTGAAGACCCGGACTCTTCCTGTGCTCAGGCTCCTCATCATTTAGCCAGGGCAGTGATGGTATCTCGCTCCCAGGGGTCTTGTGGCCAGAAGGGTGATGTCTAGAAAGAGTTAGCATAGTGCTTTCAAGAGTTAACTGCTGTTGGTAAGGCACACTGTTATGAAACATGTAAATTGATTTTATTTAACCTTCAGTATTCAGTGGGGATTGCTTCCATCATGAACTCCCCCAACCCCAAATAGATAGGTACGTTTGAATTAAGAGTATCTAAAGTGAGAGCTATTAAAACACAGTAAAGCCACACCGACGTTTGTGACTCTGAACCCTAGAATGAGTATTGAGAAATAAGCGTTGCGTTTTCTTTATGCCTGTGCTGTGCTCCAAGGAGTGATGGCTGCAGGTGTCAGTGGGATCATGGGAGTCTCCCTCCAGGGAGTCAACCTGGAGCTCTCCCTCGAACGAGCTCATCCGTCTGGCTGGGATTCTCAGCCTCACTGGCCGGGCCCCTGTTCACCGAGAGTGGCTGTCTTCCTGCTGCTTGCCACCAGCCAGTGAATAGGAACGCTTTCATGGTCCCGCCCTTGTGTCATCCCACAGCTTAGGGCCCTGTGGGCTCGCTGCCCCTATACCACCACTGCCTCTTTCAGCCCTACGAGGATTGGCCAAAAAGTATTGCTGCAAAACCATAGAAAACTTAATTACACAAAAATATCAAGATGAAGCTTGTTTCTTGACACACCACCCATTAAGGTGTGTAGAAGCGTGTCAGGGCACTGTTTCCATCTTTGTAGCCCTTCCCTGAAGCACGTGTGCTCTTCGGTCGCCACCATGGCAAGAAGGCAGTTGGAGCACTCAGGGTCTCATGTCCTATTCCTCTTCAATGTTCCTTGTGCTCGGGGGACAAAAAGACTTTCTTTGTGCCCTAAAACAAACACACACACACACACACATAGATATGTATACCACACTCACGCCCATCAAATGGATGACAACCCTTATAGCACCCTATGGGGCAGGAAAGAACTGCCCCCTTGAGTTTCCGAGACTATAACTGTGTACAGGAGTAGAAAGCCCCATCTTTTTCCCCTGAGGAGCTGCTGCTGGTTTCAAACTGCCTACCTTGTGGATCTCAGCCCAGCGTAGAACCTCTGTACCACCAGGATAAAGTGTATATCTAAGTATCTTGTCCTGCTTATTGATAATGTAAATGATATAGCTTTGTTCATTTCAATTTCTAATTAATCGTTAGTTTGTATACATACAAGTAATATTTATAAATTGACCCTGTATCTTATAACTTTTCCTAAGCTCATGCATTAGTTCTAATAACTTTTGTGTAGATTCTAGATTCTTTGGGATTATTTGCATAGATAATCACAATATCTTCATTCAATTGTTTTATTTTTTTCCTTCTAATCTTTATGTCTTGCATTATTGTACTGTTTAGTAAAATGATGTTGAGTAGTGTTGATAGCAGAAAATAAGAGGCATGAAGAGGTGAGGTCAGGGCTGCAGACCCTGGCCACACTCAGAATGAGCAGGTGCGTTCTTGATGAAAAAATTCTTCAGTGTAATTTTTGTGGCCAGTGCAACTCACCAGTGCAGGTCTCAGCTTTTTGTAACTTCTCCCTCGTGACCCTTGTGATCAGCCGATGTTCTCTGAGAAGCTCTATCAAGGTTTCCCCTTTGGAACCTCTCACAGCAGTCACCGAAACCTTCTGAGTGAACCTCTGTCGGAGTTTCACTGACCCAGCAGATCCTCATGGAAGCCACTGTTTGATTAGGCCTTGCTCTCTGGATCCTATCGGTAAATCAAACCCCAGTTTACTGTTTGTCCCATACAGTCATTTCCATTAGCTTTGAACTTGCTTCAAGGACTGATGGAAAGATCAGTCCTTTGAGCAGCACTTTGGGCGCCCATCAGCTGAACCCCTGCTGAGGTCGGGATGTTCAGTCAGCTTGAAAATAAAACCACAGGAGGTCCCAGTTTCTGTAGCTGTCGCATCGATGGCTCTTCTGTGCTCGTCCACCGGTGTCTGGACGTCCGTCACAGTCTCCGCATTTGTCAGGGTTGATGGTCTGCCCTTTTTGGGGCCATCTGTTTGTTCTTTTCTCCAAACAAACAAACAGACTCACTGCCACAGAGGCACTGCTGACTCCTAGCGACCCCCGGTGGGTTGCCGAGACTGACTGTGTACAGGAGTAGAAAGCCCAGCCTTTCTCCCGAGGGGCTGCTGGTGGTTTCTAGTGCCAGCCGTGTGGACTGGCGTCCGACCTTTAAAATGCTCCATCCACCTAAAGACTGCTGTTTGTGTGGGACAGCATTGTTGCACAGCTCCAGTGGCGTGGCAAGGTGCCCACCTGAGTTTTTTCCGTGGAACAAAAAGTATCCTTTTCCTTCTTTAAAGGAGCCCTGGTGGCATGCTGTTTACATGTTGGCTGCAATGTACAAGACCAGCAGTTCAAAATGATCAGTGGCTCCTGGGTGGACCAAAGGGCCTTTCCCACTCCCGTAAAGAGTGATAGTCTCATACATTCAAGGGGCAGGTCTGCCCTGTCTTAGAGGGTCACAGAGCCAGCATCGGCTTGATGGCAGAGACTTGTATGGAATGAGACAAGTGTATTACTGAGAGCCAATAAACGTTTTGTTTGGAATAAGCCATAGGGGTATGAATCACAATCGTTGTAGCAATGTTTGTTTACTTATCCTTGCATTTGAGTATAGATCAGGCCTCCTCAAATAAGGCCCGCGGGCCACATGCGCCCGCCGAGGACATTTATCCGGCCCGCCGGGTGTTTTTGCCCCGTTTGTTTTTCACTTCAAAATAAGATACGTGCAGTGTGCATAGGAATTTGTTCTTAGTTTTTTGGGTTTTTTTTAACTATAGTCTGGCCTTCCAACGGGTCTGAGGGACAGTGAACTGGCCCCCTGTTTAAAAAGTTTGAGGACCCCTGGTCTAGATGGCATAGGGATTGGAATCAACCTTATGTTCACATTCATTCAACTACTGCTCACCTACAGGACTTCAGACGGTTCATGGAAAAATGAAATGGAAGGATCCTGGCGTTTTCCCACAAAACGATGAAGGAAGCCCCTTCATCCTCTGGGTGGCCGTGTTGGACAGGGAGCCATACGTAGTCCTTTAAAAAAACAAAAAGATACAGAGGCCAAATGATACCCTAGGCAAGTCCTTCCAAACAGGAATTTCTTTGGAAGAAGAATGGCTCGGTTTTTGGTTTTCTGGATTTTCCTGTTGTGACAAGAATATTCCTGGCAAAAGATTTGCTGATTAATTTTTTCCACAGACAGTTGAATGACAGCGGCCGCGCTCATTGTTGATGGCCGTGTGGCCATCACTGCCATCGCTTTCTGAGCTTTGCCATCACTGTTAGGAGAAACTCGGTGCCCCTGTCCCTCCCCTCCTGTTCCTGGTAACTGTGCTCGATACTGTGTGTGCGTGGGTCACGTTGCATTTGTCCTTTTCTGCCTGACTCCTTTGACTCAAGTACAGTGTTTTCAAGGGTTCTCCACGTGGAGCCTGAATCGGGAATCCCCTCGCTCTCGGCACCATGTCTGGCTGACCGTGCTTTCGTGGTGGGACACGTGGCGTCTCCTCCCCTGACTGTCCTGAGCGGGCCTGCAGTGGACATCGGGGTCCTTCTGCTTCCCCCATTCCAGTCATTTTGAGTGTGTACTTATGATTGGGGTCACTGGGTTGTGTGGTAGTTTTATTTTAGCCCTCTAATTGTTAGTGAATTTGATGATATCATTGGAAAGTGGAGTTAACTCTTTCTTTCTCATAACAGACATGGAAGAATGAAGGCTTTTTTGCTCTATATAAAGGATTTTGGCCAAACTGGTTGAGGCTTGGCCCTTGGAATATCATTGTATCCTTTGCTGGTCTGGGGTGAAAAAAGATGTTGTCACAAGAATATGATGTTTTATGAATTGCCATGTTATTAACTATAATTTAGAATTTTTTTTTTTAGTTCTGGTTATATGAAATATCTGCTTAACCTCTTTCAGGAGATATAGAGTCTCTATGCTAGACACTATGACTCTTTCCACTGGAAAATTGGGCTACCCCAAATGCTTTTCAACTATTTTAGGTGCTGGGGAGCCCTGGTGCCATACTGGGTTATGCGCCGGCTGCTGCCTGCAAGAGCAGCTGTCTGAAACCGCTAGCCACTCTGTAGGAGAGGGATGAGGCTTTCTACTCTCATTAGTTCTTATAACATTGCTCTGCTCCATACTCGCCCTCATGAAGAGATCACTGAAGAGAAGGGTGCTGCAGCAAACTGTGGTGAAGAAAGCAGATGGTGTTCGACTATCAATTGGAAGAGTGTCTGGGATCTTAAAGGCTTGTATTCAAACAAGCAGCCCTCTAAGTGAGCTGTCAACTAAGCCCGCATCGAAGAAGCACACCAGTCTGTGGGATCCAAAGTTGACAATAACAAAATCCAAATACGATGAAGGGAAAGGTATCAGTTTACAATAATCTCTGTCTGACAATAAAGCTGTCCCTCGCCTGTGGCTAGAGGGGATCTGCCAGATGCTTGGTTTGGCTATTCTGCAGATGGATTTTGGGTTCCCACTGTCCCCCATAGCCTTCTACAAATTGAGTGTTCAATTCACAGAACGCTCCAAAGCACTGCCACGTGGGCGAGTGCTGCAGCTTGTCGAGGCCCGTGTTGGGCTGTCATCCGAGGTGGTAAATCTTGTGGAGCAGAGAGCTTCGTTTTCTCTCGAGGAGTGGCTGGAGGCTTTGTACCACCACCCTGAGGCTCGCAGTCCACTGCTTCAGCGCCAGTGCCAGCAGGGCTCCCTCCTGGAGCAGGTCCTGGCTGATTTTGAGACCTCGCCTCTGAGATGTCTATTGTAAGCTGCCTGGCCGTAGGCGGGGAGACTGGCCATACATTGCCCTTGTCTTTGACCATGGTCATGCCTCGGGCTCAAACATGGCTCCCTGTGGCCCTGCTTTTGCATGTTGGGGTTGTTACAATGGCGTTTTCGTTGTCGGCCTTAACCGGTAACTGCAGTTCTTCGTGACGTATGAGCAGTTGAAGAAGTTGGACTTGTGACAAGCCCCAGCCGGCACAAGCTTCCCTCTGCAAATGCTCGCTTCCCCTACTCGCAGTGCAGCTTCCTGCTTCCTGCCCTCCTTACGGCTAAGGTCATCCCAGATCCCTGGAGTGATCAGCAGAGGGCAACGGAGGAGTCCCACTGGAATTGCCAGGCCTCATCCAATGTTTACTAACAAACTGCCACATCCAAACACTCTTCCTTCCCATTGAAGTGCCGTTCACAGCCAAGGTGACATTTGAAGTGCATGTTCCTGCTAAGAAATCTCCCAAGACAATCTGGTGCCGGGGACAGTTTGTTCCAAGGAGTGGAGCTCCTGGTGCATCTCAGCACTTGGTGGAGACTCCGGTGTGAGCTGGGCGCCCCCACAGGCCTTCCCGTTCCTGCCTGTCTGAAGAAACATCACACGGGGCACAGGGCCTTCCAAGAGCCGTATGGACAATACCAGAAACCCATCCATCTTTGGAATATTGCACTGGGTTTTAATTTCCTATTTCGGCAGGATCTCTCACTTATAATAAGTGTTTTAAGCCTTTGCAGACTTGGCCTTTGTGAGGAATTGTTACCGAGTATTAAGATGTAAACTCAATTGTGTGACTTGGCGCACAAGCCCAGCAGGTGTTTTCAGCCGGGATGTGTTTTGCCGTAGGTAGTGGTGGTGGTTCCTTCTCTGAGTCTCAGCAATGCTTATTGGCTCTTTTGCGTCGGTTTCCCTCCCTGGGTGCTGGGGCTGAAGCCCTGGAATGGAGGACGCAGTAGCTGTGCTGCCCCTTTTCTGATGTTAACACAGCTAATGTCATGTGTGAACGCCTTTACATCACGCCACCCACGTCTGTGCCCCTTCCAGAAGCAGCATGTACACAAGAGTCGCAGTCCCAGGCTTCCTCGCCGGAACCACAAGGGTGGCCCTTTCTGAGAAGCCTGGTTCAAGAGAGTGCAGGGTACATGGAGATGGTCATGTGCATTGCCTATCCAAATGTGGCCAGTGAATGAGAGCGTTCATTTCTCCACCTTTTCCGTGTTTACTTTAGACCACGTCATGTTACATAAACTGCATCCTGTCTTTGACTTAGTTTAGATGGGAAGTGTGGATTGAGATCCTAGTCACCTCATGACAGGTCTCTTTCATTCTGTCTTCTAAAGGCATTGACTGCTACATGTATTGCACATCACAGTTCCCACCAACTTGTCCTAGCGCGGCCATCCCTATTCCGTGTCCTCTCTTCTTGAGCCTCTGTCAGTGTCCCTGCTGGAATCACTCATGTGTCATGGCTGTGGCTCCTGGGCAGGGCCAGCTAGAGGAGATCTTGGCCTGCTTTCTTGTCTTCAGATTGAAAAGGGACTCTGAAACCCCCAGAGCAGCTGGGTCATAACAGTGTATTGCGCTTACTGCTATCCAGTAGGTTGGTGGCTTGGGTCTACCCAGGGGTACCTTGGGAAAAAGGCCTGGCATCTCCACTTCCGAAAAACTGTCCATTGAAAATCCTGTGGAGCACAGTTCTACTCTGACACGCTCAGGGTCACCGTGAGTTGATGGCAACTGGCTTGGGTTTTAGCTGTGGCCTGAGACCCCTGTGATCTTGATCCTCGTAGAAGACGGCCCCAAGGCAGCCAAGACCCTTGGCTACCTTCAGCGCTACCCTCTGAGAATAACATGAACTGTGCCCTGCCTGTGGCATGTGTAGCAGAGCACTGCTACAGCATCTCAAAAGGAAAAGCCAGACCCTGCCATGGTGTTGATCCCCACATGCTGACCCTGTAGGACAGGGCAGAACTGCCTCTGTGGGATTCCGAGGCTGTTAAACTGATGGAGAGCAGAAAGCCTCATCTTTCTCCTGCAGAGCGGCTGGTGACATGGAACCACTGACCTTTCAGTTCATAGCTCAACATGTAGCCCACTTTGCCAGCAGGGCTACTTTCTACAGCACATGCAGGGTGCATTGCTGGTTTCTGATGTTCCCTCCTCCATGAAGGCAGAATAGGAGGAATCCGAGCTTTGGAGACCAGGCCGTGTTCCTCACAGCCAGGTCCACCTGGCCTTCTCTATGCTTCCTATGAAAAAGAATTCTTACTTTCTCCGTCAGAGCTGAGATAAAGCCATTTAAAAGGGGAAGGAAAACAGAAGCGGGGTGGGGTGGCAGAGGCATGTTCATTGCTGGGAGATGAGGGTGGAGAGTCCGGGTTCCAGCCTTCCTGTCCTGTCAGAAGTGGCCACGGGGCAGAGTCTCACGACACCCGAGAGCAGAGCTCACCCAGGCTGCCAGTCTCACCCACGGGGCCCGGGTTCTGACCTGGGAGAGTTGGTTCCCTAACCAAACATTCCACAGACCAGTCAGTGCAAGGCTGTGTAGAAAGAGGCTTTCGTTTGTGAGTTCTTGGAGTTTAAAGAGCTGTTCATGAACCTTTCTTTGTTTGAATGTAGGAATCATTTCAATTTTTCTTTTTTTAGTGTGTAATTTCTAAACCATTAGAAACAAGCTAATTGAAAGACCAGGTAAAAGTGAGTGCCAGGCTTCAATATGTTCATCACTAAGACCAAAAGAAAGCATTTCCTTAGATTTGGTTGAGAAATATTTTTCAGACTTATTATCTAGAACAATCGTACCTGCTTTTGTTTTTCTGCTTCCCAGAGGAGCATGTACAATTCTGGGGATGTTGAATAAAGAAATGACTTGCTAGCATGAGGAGAATTGATTCTCTTATTTTCAGGGGTGTGAGTATAAATTTATTCTTTTTCTCCTTTTTGGATATGGCTTAAATATGGTTTTTTGTTTTTATGCTCACATTGGAGTGAATGGTTTTATTGTTTGCTTATGGGTTTGTGTAACCATTGATACTGAACGTTGCTGATCTGTGTATGTAAAAAATGCCTCCTGTACTCCATATTTATTCATATGCTTGCGATAGTACATGTTATGTAGAGTATACATTTTTCATAAGCCTTTATATGTGGAACTCTTTATTTAAATAATTGGGATATGTGATGTATACCTTGTTTCATTTATTTAATAAACTGGAGTGATAAATAACAACCAAAACTGATCAGTGGTTATTTCAGATATAAACCCACTACCATTGAGTTGATTCTGTACAGTAGCTCTATAGCAGTGGTTCTTAACCTATGGGTGGTGACCCCTTTGGGGGTCAAACGACCCTTTCACAGGGGTTGCCCAATTCATAACAGTAGCAAAATGATAGTTATGAAGTAGCAATGAAAATCATGTTATGGCTGGGGGGATCACCACAACATGAGGAACTGTGTGAATGGCTCGCGGCATGAGGAAGGTTGAGAACCACTGCTCTACAGGATAGAGTAGAACTGCTCCTGAGAGTGTGTGTCTGAGGCTGCAAATTTTCGCAGGAACACACAGCCTCACCTCCCTGGGAGTGGTTGGTGGGTTTGAACTGCTGATATAACAGTGGCTAACCCACAGCACCACCAGGGCCCCCTTTCAGATACAGAGGAACATTCCAACAGACACATCAAAGGAGAGTCCAGAGACCAGTGGCCATTGTCTCAGATTCCTCCAGTCTATTCTGACCAAGTGGAACCGATCCCTGAGGTGCTCTTGGCTCTCATCGTTAGGGGAGATTAACTTTGTAACTTGCTATCGTGACTTAGGTGCAGGTTTACAGAGCAGTAATTCATACACTCTGATTGGCCGCCTCCTGGAAGATCCCCCGTATACCCTCACCTATCCCACTTCCCTGTGTTTCCTTCGGGAGAGAAGATTTCAGGTCATTCTCTCGTGGAGCCACGAGGTGGATTTGAACTGCCAGCTTCATCGTTGACATCTGAGCACTTCCCCCTTGTGCTACCAGGGCCCGTGGAGTGGCAGCAGTGTGGGTGAACGCCACGATGGACATTTCTCAGCACAGAGAAGCTGTGAAGGGCAGCTTCATCACGCAGACCTGCGAGTCCATGCCGGCTATGACTTCCTCTAGCTCAGTGCCAGTGGGCCACTTGGTTTGTTTGCTGTGGTGACGTCTCCGGGCTGGGTCACTCACTCCCATTACCACAGTGACTGTTGGCTGCAGGCAGGTGCTGGCACCCTCAGGCAGCTGTGGGCCAGGCAGACACCGCTGGTTGGCGGGACACTACCAGTGGACTAAAGGCAATCTTGGATCATTTGCTTTTTCACTGATGAACATTTTTTTAGGTGCCTGTCTTCTTAACTATTTTTTAACTTTATTGTGATGAAAATAGACATAACAAAACACAGCATCTCAACAGACTGCATGTAAAATGTTGAATGTGTTTTCATAGAATAGCATGATAGAAAAAAAAAAGAATAGCATGATAGGTGTGGTTGTAACCCACCATGCCTGTGATACATAATAGTACTCAAATATCTAATACTAAGATAACTTATTGATAAGTTCTAATATTAAACAATACTAAACTTTACTGTGGTTATGGACAGTAAAAAAAAAACCAAAAACATGCCACGGAGGGTCTCAGAAAATTTAAGTTAAAGCTGTTACTACTTCACAATTGGGAAGTCAGAGTAACCCGGTTCTAGACGTTGCTCTGTCACTGTTGGATTTGGGCCTTGCTCTTGCCTTTCCTGCACAGGACGCACTGTGGATGTGGGACCTTGTCCTTGTCCTTGTTCTGGACCTGCTAACCCGTCTCAGCTTTTTACCCTCAACCTGTGTGTACTTGGCGGAAAAATACCCCTTACATCTTCCCCAAGTTCAATAACTCACCCACAGATATCAGACTATCCCCTCCTGCCATGCTCAAACCATCCTCGTGTTCTTCACAGGCCCCCGCACCACCCAGGGTGTGCACCTCACCCATGGCTTCCCTCCGCACCTGTCCACCCTGCACCCAGAAGCTTCCGATTACATCTTCAGCCGTGCAGCTATCCTCTTGACTTTCCTTCAAACCATTCCACAGAGACACAGTTAACAACTAACTGTGTCTTGTCCTTGAAAGAAAACCTTCTCGTCCCCCTTCCCTTCCACTCCTGGTAACCACTAAAAGTCTCTGGTTTCTGTATATTTGCCCGTTTCAATAAATGATCTCATAATGATGGGGGCCTTTTGTGATGGACTGGTTTGTCCAGGCTCGGTGCTTTCACACGGCATCCCTGTAGTGGCACATATCAGGACCTTGTTCCTCATTCAAGGCGGAGTGTATATTTCACTGTGCTGGTAGAGTGCCTGCCGTAACTTTGTGAAAATAAGTGATTTCTTTAAAAAACAAAAAGCGGGCTTTTTGTTTCAGTTCTGCTTAGGAGATTGGGTGACACAGACATGTGGACTTCAGATACATGGGAACTGGTGGCTCCTGGCGTGGTCAGTGGATAGTAGCTGTCATTTGGATTAAGGTACCTGTTAGACCCATAGTACTTTGAACAACTGACATAATACAATTATGTACTTATGTAAATAATCCCTTTTACCCTTTAAGTACATTCACTACATTAGGTTCATTCTTTTTCTTCGCCCATAGGAATGAAGTCATACTCTACAAAAGAGGTTGCATTTTACCTTTTTCTTATGAAAGAGTAGTTCATGGATAATACCTTCCTATTGTGCAGGCTAAGATCTAGCTCACTCGTCTCATGAGCCGCAGAGAAATCACACAGAGATGGACATGGGTGACTTCAGCATGGGGCACCCACAGAGGCACAGGAAGAGATGCCTGGGAATCTAGATATCTGAGTTATAAGTAGAAAGTGTAATTGCAAAGCATGTCACATTTTTTGACATTTTAGGCATTTAATGTTCCTATATACTGATACTACGTCCATTCTGATTCATATCGACCCTGTAGGACAGGGTAAACTGTACAGGAGTAGAAAGCCACCTTTCTCCCTTGGAGCAGCTGGTGGTTTTGAACTGCTGATCTAGTGGTTTGCCCAATTCAACCACTACGCCACCAGGGCTCCCGTTTCTATATTAAGTATGGTTCAATTAGATCAAGCATAATTGTACAATTACTACCACAATCAGTTTCCAACCATGTTCTTTCTTCTTGAACTTTTGATATCAGCTGCCATAGTCATTGCTTTCCTTAGATCAGCAAACACTTAGGCTACAGCCACCAGTCTTCTCAGCCTGTGGCCAAGTCCCCAGTTCTCAACCTCTCAGCCCCGTGGCAGCCAAGGCTTGCTCTGGTTCATAGTCTCAGCTATGTGGGCCCTTGCTTTGATGTCACTTCTAAGAATTCACTGCCAAATCTAAGGTCATGAAAGTTGACCTCTATGTTTTCCAGTATATAGCTCTTTGAGGTTGAAATCTTCGAGAGTAATTCTGTCTTTTCAAAATGTCCCTTGATTCGAAACATTGACTCTCCCTTCCAAGCTGGGGACCCTTGCTGTCCTCCAGAGCAGCACTGCCTCCCTTAGAACCTGGGCTGTTGTTTAAACGTGGTGTCAAACCGGGGTGTGTGTGTGTGTGATTTATACAGCTCACTGACGCACGAAGGAGAGGCTGATCGAGTGAGTAACCAAGGAAATGATTTGAATGGAAAACAGATCTCCCAGCACAGGATGGAGCAGTCAAAGCCAAGCCCAAGGGGTGTCTTTCCACCACTCGGCTGGAGGGTTGTACACAGAGAAGTTCAGTGACCCCAGGTTCTTGTGCTCCCATGAGTCCAGAGGCCGCTGTTGGCATGAGAATATTCCATGGAATATTGTTCTTTACGTTGCTCTTTTTGAGACTCTGCTGCTTGGTAACAATGACATCAAATGGAGCACAATCCGCGAGCCCGTGTGGTGTGTCCTACTTCCCTTTGCTGCCATGATTTGACATTTTAGTACTTACGTGGCCTCCAGACAAAGAACAAGTTTTTCCATTCAGAGATGTTTCTATGAGTCTTTTATTCTCGCCCTTAGACTTGTGCTTGCCAAAGTGCCCCGTGGTGAAGTACTAAAGCCGCCACGCAGGAGTTGATTCCTGACCTTAGGGCAGAGTAGGACTGCTTCCCGGTGCTTCGGACAGTGTCAGTCTTTATGGAAGCAGACTGCCATGTTTGCGGCAGTTGGTTGGGTTCGAACCACTGGCCTTTCAGTTAGCAGCCTAACGCTTAGCCCACTGTGCCACCAGAGCTCCTTACAAAGTACTCAACCAAACCTGCTACCAAGAAGTGGTTCTGATTCATAGGGTTTCTGAGGTTGTCAATCTTTGTGGGAGCAGACAGCTGCATCTTTCCCACGCTATACTGTGTGTGTGTGTGTGTGTGTGTGTGTGTGTGTGTGTGTGTGTGTGTTCAGACTACTGACCTTGAGGTTAGCAGCCTGGGTAACCCACTAGGGTAACAGGGCTCCCAGCAGGTTCAAATTGTGCATCTTCTGTCCTTCATGTTCATTAAGGATTAGCAGAGAGGGTTGACAAGCAGTCCATGGGGTTTCTGAGACTGTCAATCTTTCTGGGAACACACAGCTTCATTTTCCCCACAGAGCAGCTGGGGGTTTCAATTGTTCGCCCTATGCCATTCGTGTGCATTAAGATTTGCAGAGAGGCTTTGTGCACCATATAGATTGCAGTGTTAGGTCGTACTGGCCAACAAGCATTTTGGTGCTTCAGATGTTAGACTTGTTTCTGAGTATCTTTGATCTGCTGACTCCAACAGTGGTCCGTTTTCCCTATCAGTTCTAGCTTTTGAGATACACTCTGTTCACCCATTAAAAAAAAAATTGGGATAGTTAAATAAAGTGCTAGATAGCCTGAGATAGAGGAAATGCATGCTGGGTTTATTTAAAGTAGTTTGCGTTGTACTAAATACTTAAATCAGGTTATACTTCACATGGTGTCCTTTGATCCAAAGGTATAGTTGAACAGTGCAAATTATGTGAACTAGGAATTTTCCCCAAGTATAACTTCACTTTTATTAGGAACTGAATAGCAGTCAGTTCCAATTTGTTATCTTAAAAGGGAGCCAAGAAACAGGAGTCACTACAGTAAATGGAGAGCCCTGGTGGCATCATGGGCCACGTGTTTGACCGCTAACCAGAAGGTCAGCTGTTCCAGCCCACCAGCCACTCTGCAGGAGAAAGAAGACTTGCTGCTCCCATGAAGG